GAGCCACTGACCTTTACTGAGCTCCCAATGGATGCCAGCCGCTGCCCCGGGAGTGCCTTCATCCTACTTGACCCTCCCAAGCACGGGCTAGGTGCACATGATCTTTGCAGAGTGGGAAACCAAAGTTCGGGCAGGCAGTTGCTGGCCCAGGGCCACACAACTGACTGTGGACAACAGAACCAAGACCACACTCGGGGACCCCTGATCCCAGTCAGAGTCCTCTTGTGGTCCCCCTGCCTTCCCAAACCGCAGACCTCTGACCCCTGCCCTGTCAGAGGCCCCCAGGGAAGATCAAGAGAACTAACACGTGGGCTCCTGTTCCAGAATCCCTCTCTCCTCCTGGGAACCACGTGGGCAGACAGATGGGGAATTTATCACTTCCACATTAGGAAAAATAAGCAAACCATAAGAGGCACTATGCGCTGGAATTTCAGTTTATATCACTGAAAGGCACTTGAAGTACAAGAGCTACACTTCTCAGAATAAATTAACCATTACCACAACAGTGGGAGACAACCTATCCCAAGAATAAACACAGAGGTCAAATGCAATGACCTTGCCATTTCCCCTACAGAAACTTCCCACTGCTTCCTTTCCCTTCTCGTCCAGAAAGGCATCATGTACAGGTTTGATAAATATTTAACCTGCTGCTTCTCCAAAAACCCAAATTAAGGGGGACTGGACATTTTTTGCGATCATCTCCTGAGACTCACCTTCCACCAGAAGGTCCCTGTTGCATACAAACATGCTGCCTAGCACCCTGACAAGCCCAAACTTCCAGAACAGGTTCAGCTTCCGACAAGGGATCACCACAGCTGTCTAACATATCCCTCTTTCCTCGGTCCACTGGGAAGCTCAATGCCAAATCTGTAGTGGGCCTCTGGAGTTACATGAGACCTCGTGGGTTGTATTTTGGGACATCCATTCACCCTTGGCTTCATCTGGTTATCCTGTGCCCAAAATTCCTCAAATTTTTCCTCTATCATTCTGCACACATTTTTAATATTGTTTTAACTGTTTTGTTTTTTTTAAGATTTTTTAATTTTTAAATAATCTCTACACCCAATGTAGGGCTCGAACATACAACCTGAAGATCAAGAGTTGCATGCTCTACCAGGGAGCCAGTCAGGTGCCCCCTACACACATTTTTAAAGAGTATTTTTTAGACTGGGACGCCTGGATGGCTCAGTTGGTGAAGCGTCTGCCTTCAGCTTGGGTCATGATCCCGGGGTCCTGGATTCGAGTCCCACATCAGGCTCCTTGCTCGGCGGGGAGCCTACTTCTCCCTCTGCTTCTGCCCCTCTCCCTGCTTGTGCTCTCTCTCTCTCATAGATAGATAGATAGATGGATGGATGGATAGATAGAATCTTAAAAAAAATATCTTTTTTAGAGTAGACATACACATAGAACAAAATCCAAAAGGTATGAAAGGGTATACAGAGAAAGTAGTTGCCCTCCTCCCTATCTCCCACATCCCCAGTTCATTATCCTCTCCAAAGTAATTCTATCATGATCAGTTGTGTAAGTATCCTTCCAGAGAGAGTCTCTGCATCTACAAAGATATGCATGTACCTTTATAAATACAGAGCACACTCACAGAATGGTTATTCGCTTTGCTTTTCAAGATCTGCACTTTATTTCACTTAGGGATTTAACCAATTCTCCATTGCCAGGCATTTAGCTTGCTTCCAACCTTTGGTGCTGCAATCCATACCCTTAGCAACCAACATTTTGCTTACATACTGATTCATCTCTAGGATGAATCCCTAGAAATGGAAACGCCCTGATGGACCATTCATTCTTCATTATTTTTTTTACATTAAAATAGCTTTTTTTTTTTTTAAAGATTTTATTTATTTATTTGACAGAGAGAGACACAGCGAGAGAGGGAACACAAGCAGGGGGAGTGGGAGAGGGAG